AACTTTTTAGATAGTGATTGATTTGTTCGTAATATTCAAGACTAATCTTATACAATAAGTGCCAAATTCTTTTATTTTTTAAAAAAAATAATTTAATTAATCAAATTAAATAAAAAATTATCAAATTTATTAATTTTAATAATTGATAAATAATTTATAATCACTCGTTGATTATAAGAAAAAAATAGGCATTCATTTATATAAATAGTATATATTATGTTATTGTAACAATTAATGGTGATTAAGAAAAAGTAAAATTACTTGAAAATTTTTAAAGATGGATCTAACAATTAGTTAATCACAACCAGTTAGTTAATTAATTAATGATAATATATATATTAAATTATATCTTACACATCAAGTATAATTATTCTTTGTGTTCAAACTTGAAATAATGAATAAATCTTTGAATATCAATAAACCCTCTTCTACATATAATAAATTGGGTTTTATTAGGAACTATTACTTCAAATGTTTCTTTAAAATCAGAGAAAATTTTTTTCTAAAAATTTATTTAAAATGAACTTTAGTTTAAAATTGATTATAAAGAAGAAAATATAATGAATTAATAATTCTTACCACACTATGCTTATTGACATTTGCACCATTTTCACAATGGAGTCTAGCATGGCCCTCCTCTAATGAAAATTTTGTAAGTATAATTATCACCTAATATATATATATATATATATATATATATTGCAAGATAAGTTCATTTTTTTGCATACCATTAGGATCAAGAGTGCCATACCATTTATTTTCAATAAAATATTTATGCTTATTTATATCATCTTGAGTAATGATGACTGGTAAAGCTAAAACTTCATGCACCGGTACTGGATCAGTTATTTCTGGATTTTTTATAGCATAAGTACCTATAGCGATTCCTATAAAAAGGAAAGAAAATATAAACATTAAAGTAGGCTTCATATTTGCTATGTTTATTTTCACAACAAGAATTTTTAGGTTCAGAATTTAAAATAAGTATAGAATATTATAGGATTTATAATTGTTTTAATTGAAATAAAGATATAAAACATTATATAACATCTAGACGATTATTAACGTTCGGACAAAATTCTACATTGGTTTAAACGAAAATATTGTACGAAATTTTTTTTTTTTTTATTAATAAAACATAAGGGCGGTTTCACAAGCACTTCATGTTTTGATAGCCTTTATATAATTGAAGATCCTCAAATTCTTTCCAAAGTAGTGTTGAAAAAGATTGCATCTACAGTAGCTAATAGAGCCAGAGATTAGCTTTTTTAACTGTTTTTATTTTTATTTTTTTTATTGAGAATATGCAGCATAAATCAGTTCAATTGATGTATAAATCTCTGAGTATCGTAGTCAACAGTTATTTCATATGCGTAGCGTTGGTCTGTGACAATATAAAGTAAGCAGATATTGATACAAATTTTTTAAATTAGTGAATAATAACATGATTCCACATGGATTCTGTATCCAACTTGGGCAATTAATTAAACTGACTTCATGTGCTTGCTCACACGACATTAGATTATCTGCATGCTTGATTAGGATTAATGGCAGCACTTTTGGACCTGACCGGATTGCTTCTTTCTTTTCAATATGTTGTCATAGAAAAAAAAAAAGGAATAATAGAACATCCTTTTTTTAACGTTAATATTTGAAACTAGGATAAACAACTTTAATTGAAGATTTAAATTCATTTGCGCCGATTCAAAAATATGGTTTAAAATCCTATGCTATTAAATGGCGATTATTGTAACATCCGTAATATGCCTATCAAACCGATTTGCGAAAATAGCACCAAAAATCGGTTGGCTATCAGACATATGTCGACATTCTATATTCTGCTGATCTCTCTTCGATATGGTATAGAAATTTAAAATTCTGCTTGTGAAAATAATAAGATGAGCATCTCGTTTTATCGTGCTTTTTGCAAATAATCAAAGAAAAGAAACACCAGATTTTATTTAATTATGTATGAGAAGTTTTATTAACTACGATATTAAACGTGCGGTCTAAAAAAAATACCGCTTTGCACTCAGTATATAAATTTCTGAAAATTGTTCTAATTAACCGGAATCATATGAAAATCAATTAATTAAATATCACGGATGATAATCAAACCTTATTTAATATACGATTTTTAAAAATTTTTTATTTTTTAGACTTTTTTTTTTTATATTTGGACTAGGATTTAGGGTTAGAGTTTATAATAAAAGAGTAAATGTGGGTTTTAGTAGGGTTTATGTTTTTAAATTAAGGCCTACAGATTTCACGATCATCTTATTTCAATATCATCGTGACATTAAATAAAGCAAAATAATCATTCTAATAGCACTTTATGATTAGTATAGAATTAGAAAGTTCGTATTATAAAATCATTCTAACAGCTATTTATTGTTAGTGCTAAGCTGAGAATGTTCGTATTATATAAAAACATTCTAACAGTTCTTTAGGGTCATAATTTAGTATTTTGATAAGAGTGGTTATATTATGTAATAAAATTACATAGCAGATAACGAATTTTTTTGCCAATTTATAGGATCTAAAAACTTCATCACCTAATCCTGTAATCTATTGACAATTCTTGAATGTGTACCAGATTGGTGGCGTATTAATCAGCCGCAGTCATCACTTATATTCAGTATGTAGAGTACGTTCGTAAAATTTCTTTGTAATTGAAAACTTCCACCATGTGCTTCTGTACTCTAAATGTTTTCTATTTTTTTTGTGAATTGAAGACATAACAGAAATATTAATACAGTCAATTTTCTCTATACAGAACTATTACAATTTTAAATTTTTTTAGTTCGTCCATTATAAAAAGGTTCATTATAAAGATTGTTGACTGTACTTAATATGTATGTAGATTATATTACAACAGTTTTGAAAGTATTTAAGATTTACAAAGCTTATAAAATTTAGTTTTAAAAGTGAAATCCTTTCAAAAGTGAAATCCTTTCAACAATAAAAACATTACTATTATTCTTTTTTAAAGATACGATTCAATGTAGAATATAAAAAAGTTTTTATAAATTATACTACATGTTTATTAGCTAACATATTGTGTTTGTTGTAATATTTTTAAGTTAAATGTTTTTTTATACTCTTATTATATTAAACTTTGACAAGTTGTCATCATTCTGACCTATAAAAAATTTTGAAATATATAACTTCTAAACATTATAAAAAATATTTTTTTGAATTTAAAACAATAATATTAGAAGCTAAGGTTATAAAAAAAATGAAGGAAACGTACTTTTTTTAAAAAATATTAAGAATATTTGATTTGAGTAGAATAACATTAATAAAATGGTGTTTTCGTTTTATTAAAACTTATAATTTTAGCATTGTTATTAGTACTTTTTAATTGACAAATTACTTCTGCTGATTAATGCGCCACCAACCTGGCACACATTTAAGAATTGCAATCTATAAAAAATAATATATTCAATCCACATGTGCAATATGAATTATTCAATATGACACTAAAAATAACCTTTTATATTAATTTTTAACTCCAGCGGATAATATTTATGAAATAGAAATAAAAAAAAAAGATTTTGCTGTTTTATTTGATTCTAGACTTTCGGTGTGGACTAAACGAATCTCTATAATTGTTTAAATAAAATGACATATTTTATTGTTAAGAATTCAAACAATATATATTTTATTGTTTTGTTTCCGTTATTATATCATACATGCTGCTGAACAAATACTGTATGAAAGAACTTTACAACAGACAGAACGCGTGGTATATCAAAATTTTTAATATATAAATTAATTGAATCGTTATACTAATGGATCCGCGGCTATCAAAATTGAATAATTCAATATGGTATCTAAAAGAAGTG